CGTGCATGTCTGGCGTGTCGCGCGCGTCCCATTTATTACAGCGCGAAGGAGGAAAGGGGTGGACGCGCAATTTATAGGAAACGCGCGGCCGACTTGGCACTAATTATTACCAGCAGTGGCGCACACCAGAAAAAAAGAGTCATATGTTCATATTGATTGCATTAGTTTCCTTCCTAAAGGGGTGCATTAAATGCATCTTGGAAGGAAGCGGAAGTTGCTGGTTCCGAACATCTGTCCGCACCTCGGCAGCACCTGGGACGCAAAAACAAACACACACGACACGGCGTACAATCAGTGCCGCCTAATTTGGAATGCGCTCTTTTAACCCGTTGAGCACGCGCCGAGCGGTCGGAATTAATTTATATAAATGTAATCAGGACCTATCATGCGTTGTTGGTGGGAAGAGAAATTAAGTTAGGCTTTCAAGTTGCTCTCGACTTTAATTCATTTTATTGGTGGCTTGGGGAAAGGGTGAAATTGGGGGAAACTAATGGGATTAGTACGAGGTGCGGGAGACACGCTTAAGCATAAGAGAGAGCTATTTTTGGACACTTCCGTGCATCTCGTTTCCTTCTTTTTGGGTGCAGGAAATGGGTTCGCGATTTGAATCTCTGAAGGAAAAAAGTCTATACTTATTCTGGATCCTAATTTTGGATGTATATAATAATTCTTTGATAAAAAAAGATCTACTGCAAATCCGTATAAACAAACACACCTTGAAATCGTTGAAAAATATTGAGGGCGATCCAAAAGCCTAACCTGGCCCAGGCTAACTTGACTTAGCCCCGGGCTAACTTAGCCCCCCAGCAAAATTGAATGGCAGGTCAAATTAGCCCAGGCCAGGTTAATTTAGCCTGGGTCAAGTTAGCCTTTTGGATCGCCCTCATTAAATCTGAGATATAGAAATAATATGAACCACATCGTAAAAATATGTTGACAGAAGTAAAATTACTTATATATTTCTTTTAATTTGTGATAAAAACCAAATTGATCTGATCATATCTTCAGACTGCTTGAGACTAAAACGTTATGGCAAACAAAATAACAACTGCACAATCCGTAACAATTAATGAAAGAACTTTGTTAAAAAATTTGATAGCATGCTATATTAAATTGTTAAGTGAAAATCACCTTCCATCCTGTGAATATGGAAACGAGCAGGGATATTCAGAAGGTGTTCCAAAATTCTCAAAATCGCGTGATTTAAAACATTTTAGTGCACGACTTTTAAACAAGAATCATTTGAAAACTAAGTGAATTAAATAAATTTTGCTTGCAAACTAAACTGTTTGATTTTTTCATTGCATTCAATGACTGCATTTTGCAGCTTTCATAATAGGAAATGATTCTTGCCAACCTCTTAAAATAGATGCACGTTTTATCTTTTTCTTGAGAGGGCCGATCCAACTCGCCGCTGCAGAAACAGCGCACTTTTAATTAGGAAGTGAGCAATAAATTGCAAGCCGAGACGCGCGTCTAAGTTTCGCCCAAGGATTTAATTCCAACTGCGCTGCAACCCCCACCAGCAGTTTCCGATCTAGAGACTCTTCGAGCTTCGTTCCATTTAAAATAAAAGAAAATATGATTTGAATTCGCGGCACGAAGAGTGACCCTCTGCACGACCTTTCGCAACTCTGCTGGCACGCGGCGTTCAATATAAATTCTAGGACGGATTTCCTTTGCGCTCTCATCGGGATGGCAGCCAAGAAAAAGAGTGAATTATATATTTTAAGAGAGGCCTCTTCGTAGGTGGCGAATTCATAAATTTAGCACGCCCGGTCCATGCACTTGTCAATTGCCACCCTGAGTGAGACTAGCTGCATGACTTATCGCCGCCGCCGCCGCGGGTAAACAGGAAGGCCTTCCATAGATCTCAATCGCTTCTCGCACACGAGCCAAGGGAGGAAAAATTCTCACCGTGACTCACCCTGTAATTTGTGTATGTAAATTTTCATGGCGGACGCGGGTGCTCCACGTGCTGCCATCAATCATCACCCTATCTGAGTGAAATCTTAAATGAATACCATACTTTGATTTTGTGATTAATATTATAAACAATTTGGATTGCTTCCTTTTCCTTCTACAATTGGTCAATATTAAATCTTATTCTTGAAATTTATTAAATTGCATCAATCAATTTAATACATTTCTGTCAAAGTTTTGGAGTTATCGTTTGCTATTAAAAGGCGAGACGCCGCCGTCTAGAAAAAAATTACGAGTGGGTGGAAATTGGTAATAACAAGGATTTCCGCATTTAAGTGCAAGGGTGCGTGTTTCTTTTTGTAATATAATGTCTCGCCTCTCGTGAATAATGAAGAATACAAACCTGAGAAGGAAACGGCAATAAATCACACGTCCGCTTGTTTTTAAGGGCGAAAGATTTTCTTTCTTTCTTTCAGCATCCGCGGCAAGCGAAATGTGAGAAATCAAACGCTCGAGACCAGAAATAAAACAGCACACACGCGGTCGGGGTAGTTTCCGCCCTTTTCTACTTGACTTGACAGTTTTCCCTGCAGCTCGGGCGCGCCCCCAGATGAAGTGTGCATATGTTCGTTCTTTTTTTCCTGCCTGCTCTCTGCGCCCCACGTGCGACCTTTAAATAATTTTACAAGAAACTTACACATCAGAGTGGCGAAATGGGTTGAGCCGCAGACACAACAAAAACACCCAGCGGCACACTTGGCTCGGCTCTAATTGCTGAATGCTAATCCTTCCGGCAAACGAAAATTTATTGCTTGTTAATAATTATTTCTTTAGAGTAAAAATAGACTTTAGCTTTTGTCTTTATTTAAAGGTGATAAAAGATGAAAAAAAATTATTTTAATTATTTTATTTTATTGTGAAAATGTTAAGACAATAATTAATTGTTAATTTTACTAAATAATATTATTTTTATATTAATTATTAACTCAATAATTTATTAATTCTTTATTTATTTATTAATTTGTATTCAAATACATTTAATCAATACATAAAAATTAAGTTATTAAAATCAATTAAAATTAATTTATAGGTGTGACAATGAAGACGTTTTTTTATTATGTGATCAATAATGCTCTATCAATGCTAAACTCTGCGTTATTGTAACAAGAATTTTTATCTAGAAACTAAAATAAATAGATGAAATAGATCATGAACAATTTGCGCGTAGAAAATATTTTGCATTTTGAACAAAGCGCAAATTTTTATCAAAACTTGTAAAAGATATTTGTTAAAAATCAGTTAAAAAACTGGAAAAACGGTATCGAAAAGAAACGAGAATCTTGATTTAGAAAAGGAGTTGAACGAAATAATTTTTCCTTAATTCAGAACGATATAAAATTTCCTTTGTGAGACCTTAAAATCTCATCAAAATTAAACTCAAAACAAATAACAAATTATACACGAAATATATAATTATATAATTACTCAATTGGAGACTTGGAAAGCCTGTATCGTGACTGCCTTTTTTAATTGTAACAAACGGCGGAAGCCAAGATCATCACCCTCTAATGAGGCAGCTCATTACGAACGTCGACCGCTGCCAAGAATATTAACTCTTTATATTTTCCACATTTTTTCTCGCTAAAGGATTTTTGGGGTTAATCGACGTATATCTATTTCTAATCGCAGAATGTGAGTTTGTAACTTCGTCCTGTTTTGCCGGTGAACGCACGCATTTCGGAAATAGACGTCGTGGGAGTGGGAAATCAGAGAAGAAAATCCGAGAGAGGAAAACAATACCGGCGCTTCCGTGAGAGAATGTATTTTATGCTGTGCGCCACGGTGAATTTTTTTTTGCTGTTGCACTGATTACCCTGTAGGAATAATTATTTAAACACCTCTTTCTCTCTCTCTCACTCGCTCACTCATAGCGCGGATTATTTGTTAATTATTTAGCCTCTCGCTTATCAAACGGACGTCGCCGTGAAAACAAAAGAATTTTCAGCGGAATAAATTTGAGAGAGAAAAAGGAAGCGGGTCCCGGTCGGTCGGAGTGCGAAGCAGGCGACGAGCGAGCGCAAGGACCTAATTTCCGGCGCATTTCAAGGTGCAAAATTATTATATTGCCGCGCAAATGAGCGCGCGTGTATTATGGTTTTACTGACAAACAACCGCGAATCGCCGACAAAATCAAGATTTTTGCATTGCCGAAACTAAATTCAATCTTTCCGGCTGAAAAACGCACATGCTATGCGAATAAATGGACGGATGTCTCAGATTTGGGCGAATCTCGTTTCTCCTCTTTTATATCGCATCAAGTTTACGTCACGCGGTACAATAATAAATTATACGTGGAAACTGGAAACAACATTTTCATTTTCATTTGTCAATAATCAAAGGTTATTTTTTTCATTAAAGTTTTAAAGATTAATTCTTTAATTTACTTGCAAAAAATTCAGCCAAATCATCAAAATTATTATACATTGATTCCTTAAATAGTTGATATTCATGGTGTTTGTGAAGGATTTGTAATTAAAGCGATGCCGCTTCCTTTTTCTCTCTCAAATTTATTCCGCTGAAAATTCTTACTCATTATTTCATTTTACTATAATAACGTGTAACGTGGTCACAAGGAAATAAGATCATAAAATTCACAGCAGACGCGGCGTGTAATTTCTTCTGATTATGCTCTTGAACTAATTTTTGCTAGAAGAATTAATTATTCAAAGTGATGCTCATAAACCTGAATTATTACCTTTTGTATTACATATTTGTGCGATCTATAATATTCGTTTAAAAGTATTGATTTATAAAAACAAATTTTGAAGAAAAAAATGCATTAACATTAAGCTAGTTTAGGAATAAAATAATTTGCTGGTTGTGGTGAGCGTTTAAATGATAGAAACGCCAACAAATAAAAATTATTTCAAAAAATATTGTTGAGGTTCTCAGCCTTGAACATCTCTCATTAAAAATTAAAAAAAAAAAAAACAACAACAACAAGGAAAAGTTGTTGCAATTTCGACAGTAAAATCCAGACTTTTTGATAAGCATATGCATATCAAAAAAATTACGTGGGTCGCCAACATACCAAAATGAGCAATGCAATCCACATCACTCACTCATTTGGAGCCGTACACTTGCCACTGCAGTCCGAAATTGCGACATGGGGCAAACAGAGAAAATCGTGGCGGTGGGAGTTTTGGTTTCGGTCATCATAATCCTTGCCTCCTACACATTACCAAACTCAAAAGTTCCTAAAGCATCAAAAGTGATCCAGGCTGAGCCGAAAATTAAAAAGGCATCCCCAGTTTCGTGTGAGTTTTATTTTCAATTAACATCTTGTTGCAATTAAAATTTGGGGTTTTGCAATTGAAGTGAGCACTTTGCGAGGCCTCCCCTTTGACGATGAGCGGCTGCTCTACTACACGATGGGGCTTATTCATCCGCCCGCCGATCGCAAAGTGCCCTATGTTTTGAAGGATTTGACCAAATACGATTATTCATGGGAAGCGATCGCTCCCACTGTGCTCACTTTGCTCAAGAACAGGGTAAGGCAAACAATTCTAAGAAAACTATGGAAGGGCTGTGAAATTTAGATAATTCAAAATTCTTTCTCAGCTTCAGTATATAATAATAATAATAACCAATAACAGGATCAGTTTTGAACTTTAAAATAGTCAATATATATCTCTCATAATATATATTTTTTAAATGAAATATGTTAATAAAACACAAGTCTAGCCAATCTCCGTTCTAGGAGGAAATTGTACTTTGAATATGAGGCGTTCTTTAAACTTATAATGTTGTGCATTACATCAAAATACCACAAAATGCTTTGGTCTTCAAAGTTTTTATTAACAGATTGAGCACTCCAAACTTTAAAATGATTTTTTTTCCTGAAGTTGATGATAGATGATAAATTAAACATAATTTTTGCGTATTTTATGACAAAAGAAAAAATTTTATGAAATTGAAATTTACTAGAAAATTATTATTATTTATTACATTACACAGACTTTCATTTCGATATTCAGATTTTAATGTATGGATTATAAATTTGCACAGCTTCTTAGTATAATATTATTTAGAAATTTAATTAATTTTTTTTAAGTCTTAAATTTTGGCCCATGAGTAGACAAATGGTTTTTTTGTGGATTGCGGCGCCCATGACGGCGAGTTTTATAGCAACACCCTGACCCTGGAAAAATATTTCAACTGGACGGGACTTTTGGTGGAAGCATCTTCAGAGGAATTGATATCACTTGCCACTAAAAACAGAAAGTCCTGGATTGCCCCAACTTGCATGAGTCTCAGTAAAACGCCAGACATTGTAAAAAAATTCACTAAAATAAATCCTTTTCATCGTCAATAACACCGCATTCATTAAGGTAACTTTTTACGAAGATAAACTTTTAGGAAAAGTGGTCGGATCAAAAGAAAAGGCTGTGAAAAACCAGACCAGAGGAAGCTACGTGGATATCCTTTGCCTGCCGTTCAACACACTATTGACTAGTCTGAATAGGACCAAGATTGACTTTTTCAGTTTGGATGTCGAGGGTCACGAGTTTGATATTCTGCAAACCATCGACTTCAAGAAATTTGAATTCGATGTTAGAAAATTATTTATTATTCAATTCAATTTTTTTTACATTTTTCTCACAAACTTTTTACAAATGTAATTTTCCTAGATTTTGGTAGTCGAGTTCGCTCATAATGGACCAAATATCAAATTGATGGCACCGTTCATGGATCGCAACGGCTACTACTTGCACCATTCTGCCCCAACGGACTTTTATTTTTTGAATAAAAAGTTAAAGTTGTAGTTCATAGCTTTCCTGAGTTTCCTGCTTTCGTTTTTGTATAAATACACATACATTGTAAAATTTGAGAGAGAAAAACAAAAGACAATTAATAAAAAACTTGTCATTCCAACCAAATGATTGTCATTTTTTTTAGAGGTTGTGGGGAAGGGCTTTGAACAAGAAATAATAATAAAATCAAAGGACTTAAAAAAATACATATTCTCTGCCATTTTTACGTAATGATTATCTGACTCTTAGATATATTTTTTTCTGCAAAGGCGGTGAAAAGGGCGTCATGGTCGCACACCCCCAGGACCACCTCCGCGGCAGAAACTATTTTGAATTGACGATTTTATTAATAACATCAAGTCCATTGATAAAACGAGTGGATAAACTCATCGGTGCGGGCGGCGCGAGTAAGACGTTCAGATTAAAATTGCCAGTCAAAAGCAACCCCACCAAAGTTTGTGTTGTTTGATCGCCACGAGCTCAGAGTGATCAGAGCGTCGGCGTTAGGCCGATGACACGCTACAAAAGCTGCCGACTTTTAAACGATTCCGCACCCCCTTCTAGATGCCTTTGTCTGCAAATGTGGTTGAATCGCAAGCACCATTTTTACGGCGACACGTCGTCGGCCTCCTTTTGAAGGACTTAAAAAAAAATACTTAAAATTATTTCACCAAAAAAAAACTTCTGAGGTTCTCAGCCTTGAACATCGCTCATTAATAATTTGAGAAACAACAAGGAAAAGTTTTTGCGCTTGTGGAAGGAAAATTCAGACTTTTTGATAAGCATTTCCTTATCAAAAAATTACGTGGGTCACCAACATATGCCAAAAATGAGCAAAATGTAATCCACGAGACAGTGAGTACATTTGAAGCCGCACACCCGCCACTGCAGGTCGAAATTGCGACATGGGACAAACAGAGAGAATCGTGGCGGTAGTAGTTTTGGTTTCGGTCATCATTATCCTGGCCTCTATCACATTACCAAACTCGAAAGTTCCTGATGCTTCAAAAGTGATCCAGGCTGAGCTGAAAATTAAAAAGGCCTCCTCCGTGTCTTGTGAGTTTTTTATTCAATTATTATTTTGTAGTAATTAAAATTGGGTTTTTGCAACTGAAGTGAGCACTTTGCGAGGCCTCCCCTTTGATGATGAGCGGTTGCTCTCTTACACGATGGGGATTATTCGCCCGCCCGTTGATCGCAGTGTACCTTATGTTTTGAAGGAAATGACCAAATACGACTACTCGTGGCAAGTGATCGCTCCCACTGTGCTCAAGTTCCTCAAGAATAGGGTACGGCAAACTATTATAAAATAATTATAAGGGCTGTGAAACTTTAACAAATCAAAATTTCTTTGTCAGCTTCAGAAATAATAATCATCTACTAACCTAGGATCAATTTAGAACTTTTAAATAATTAAATATGTGGTCCAGGCATGTAAATTCATATTTATTAAAAATGGCGCTTGTAAAATTTCCTGTTTTTTTTTTTTTTTTTTTTGGTATTTAATAGTTTTTTTAGTTTAAAATTTTTGCTCATGAACAGACAAATGGTTTTTTTGTGGATTGCGGTGCCCACGACGGCGAGCTGTATAGCAATACCCTGACCCTGGAAAAGTACTTCAACTGGATGGGACTTTTGGTGGAAGCATCTCCAAAAGAATTGATGTCACTCACTACTAAAAACAGAAAGTCCTGGATTGCCCCAACTTGTATGAGTCTCAGTAAAACACCAGACATTGTAAAAAAATTCACTAAAATAAAATCCTTTTTATCTCAATAAAACTGCAATCATAAAGGTCAGTTTCCACGAAAATTCGCTTTTAGGAAAAGTGATAGGACCGAAAGAAAAGGTTGTAAAAACTGATACCAAAGTAAAATACGTGGACATCCTTTGCCTGCCGTTCAACACACTTTTGACTAGTCTGAATAGGACCAAGATTGACTTTTTCAGTTTGGATGTCGAGGGTCGCGAGTTTGAGATTCTGCAAACCATCGACTTCAAGAAATTTGAATTCGATGTTAGATATTATTTATTATTCAATTCAATTTTTTTCCCATAATCATTGTTAATGTAACAACCGTAAATTTTCTAGATTTTAGTTGTTGAGTACCCTCATAATGGACCAAATATCAAATTGATGGCACCGTTCATGGATCGCAACGGTTACTCCTTGCTCCATACTTCGCCGATGGACTTTTATTTTTTGAACAAAAAGTTAAAGTTGTAGTTCAAACCTTGCTGTTTTATCCTTGTATTGAAACTTATGTTTTAAAAATTAGAGGTAGAGAAACCAAAGATAAATAAAAAAATTCTCATCCTATCCATGTGATATGCAAAAAAGTCATTTTTTTATGTTTTGGACAAGAAATAAAAATTAAATAATGAAATTTTAAATAGAATGAAGTCCATGCAGTTTGCATAATAACGAACTAAATCACTGACTCTAAAAATTCTTTCTTGCTCAAAATATTGGGTTTTTCCGGAGTAATCACAATTTTCATTCAATTTTGGAAGAAAGTGCCGAGAAAATGCAAGTTAGAAATCATTACGGTTTTTAAGTTGGAAACGGCTGACTTTTTAACTTAAACAAACATGATAAAAGTTCAAATTTGATACACGCTAACTGTTGGCTCTTAAAAAGGAGCAATTTATAGAATTGTAACAAAAATCACCTTGCAATGAATTTAAATTGTTGTAAATTCTAATTAAAATGATAAGCCAGAAGATGCCCACTAAATTAAAAATATATTTTAAATTTCATTTTGACTAATAAAAGCGAAAATATATAATAGATTAGGAATAACTAAAATAAATTATTTTTCGCTCACTTATTGTGACATAATTATTACTGCAGACGCAGACGCGTGGTCCGTTGATTAATTGCAGTTTCGCTCTGCGGTGCAAATCTCTCTCCACGTCTTAATTATAATTCGAGAGGTTTTCGAAAGCCGCAACAATATAAAAAGAAAGAAAACTGCGCGCGCGAACGAACGCACCTTGCTCTACGTGCACTCTTGCATTATTTTTATTAAAGTTTGCTAGTTAAAGTACGGAACTGTGGTTGGCAAGTAGGCTGAGAAAATTACTTCCTTTTCTTTATCAAAACGCCTTGAAGATCTTCCCGGACGTTCCACCCAGAACAGGAAACGGCCAAAAATTACACACAGCATAAAGGCGCGCATCAGCGCGAGTCGCTCCGTCGCTCTCGCCAGAGATTAATTCGCCTTCGATCATTTTTTACTTTTTCTACGCAAATCCCGCGGAATTTTCGTTTGAAGCATTCCGCGAGTTTGTAAAGCGGAGGAAACGGGGCCAAGAGAGAGATAATTTGTTTATCTGTCCGGGAAATGAGCTCGCGCAGGTAAATATATATGGTTGCCTAAGACGCCGGTGCTTTTTATCGAGACAGGACATACGCAAATGCTCGCCGCCGCCGCGCCGGACGTCCCTTCCTCCTCCCTATTGGGACATAATTGATTTCCTTTTCACATCAAATGTTAAGAAAAAGTGGCACAAGGTGAGCTTGGGGGAGAGATACCGTGCGCGTCATGAAATTTCCTCCCGCGATATATAAAAATATGCGACAAGGGGAAAATTTCAGAGATAGCACTAATTGTCCTCAGCTGGACACTGCTGCTTGTAGACCTTCCGCTCTAAAATGTCATTTTCATGAAAAAGAAGAAAACGTTATACATACGTAAATTTTCACAAAGCAGGTTAGAGCTATATTTTTGCATTTTGAATATTTTTATACATTATATACACGATTTTATTTTACAAATAATATTTTTGCGAAAACAATTGTCAAAAAAATCAGCTCTACTTCACAAATGCGTGGCCCCGTAAAGGGCATTAACATGAATACAAAACCCAGAAAGATAATCGTCGGATGGTGTCAACCGGCGCAAAGGTGAATGAAATCTGATTCCGCGTGCGACGTCAGTGAGAGACGATTTTCTCATCAAGTGAACAAAGAGATTACACGTTCCAAATAGTGCATCTCTCTGGCGAACTCGCAGAAAACGCTCACGCTCTCTTGAAACACCTGCAAATTTAATATCTTTTCTTTTTTAATTCTCATTTAAAATTAATAACTATTAAATTATTTTTTGCTGATGAAATTTTTGCTTTGTTGCAGGTCATGATGCAGACAGACTCCCGGAATCCTGAGCTGAGCTGGGGCCACCCTCCGCCTTCCGACTGGGCCTCGGCTCGAGTGCCGCCAGCCCACGCTCCTCTTAACCCTCCAAGGGCCAACATGCCCCGACCCAGCGAGAGTTTGCCCAGAGGTAATTCAATTTAATCAAATTTTCAAATGTAGTTCCTCAATTTTTTTTGGACACAACAGGGACAAAATACAAATATTTTTTTTTCATAAACGTAATTTTAGAATTGATTTTTTTTTTTCAAATATTGGTTGTTTAATTTTTCAGTAACTTTAATTCTTTAACTTTTTGTGGCTCTTTGCGCTCAACCTAATTCAATTTTTACTCTTTTCTGTTCATTTAAAATTGATAACAATAAATATAAAATTCAATTTAATTTGATGTGAAATTTTATTTGACGTTTATGACGTTTATATGGGTTAACTTCTTTTTACCAGATAAATTTATGGATCAATTTAAATTTTCCATCCCCGCCTGTCACGTTTTGTAGTTGTTAGTGGCATTGACCCGCATACTGGGTTTTGATCGCGTGAGTTTATTTGGAAAATTGAAATTCGTTTTTGTGCCTCTCAAAGTTAAATTTGACGGGAAACGTGGGGATTAGTCATGAATATTTCAATAATTAATAATTCGGGGGAGCGCGTGCCATATGCTTTGGTCGGCAATAATCAGCGTTTGGCGCCCCTATCCTTTTCCTTTCCTGCCGCGCACGTTTCCGGCACTTTTCGCCGCGGCTGCTGGTTTATCTCTCTTTCCGACGGTGCACTGTGCGCACCAGGTCTTCTGTTTTGAATAATCACGGTCGTAACGGGCTTTTCGCACTCATTATTACCCTGATCTCAAGCGAATCGAGGAAGTGAAAGAAATAAATAATCGCGTCAGCAATAATTCGGTTTTGCGGCATGACGAGCACCTTTTTTATGCTTTCAGTGTGAAAAAATTACCGCAATTCTTAATTCCGAGCATTTCCATAATTCCAATATTCACTTCAACGAAGCAGAACTCCTCAATATTTACTGTTATCTTATTAATTTTAAATCTGAATGTAAAAAATTGCAATAAACATGTTTGCCTGCATTGATGTTCAGCTTTTCTTATTATTTTCAATATAAAAATTTCATCACCACACTTTATTGTCAGAAAGTCAATTTATCTGTTTCAAGTGTTCCAACATTCACATAATAAATAACGTCATTAATTAAATATGAGATCATAACTTTCCTGTTTATGTAATGATACTCTTCATTTTCCGCCTTTGGTGCTCAATTTGAAACTCATTTGCATTCCTAATTGTTGTGCAAATTCACCATCTGTCTCGGTGCACATCTGTCAGGTGCTGCGGGAGTCGAATAACAAAAATGCCACTCATGCATTACTTGTCCATTTAACGTGTATTTAACCCAGTATGCACTTTTGTGACGCAATAATAATCTCGTTTCGTTTTGCAGATCCGAGGACGTGGAGTCGCGAGCACGTCGCCCTTTGGCTTCGTCACATGGCCGCGCGCCACCAGATGCAGATCAACGCGCCCCACGAGCGCTTTCCCATGAACGGCAAGGCCCTTTGTCTCATGAACGTGGACATGTTTCTGCAACGCGTGCCTCTCGGCGGCAAGACCCTCTATAAGGACTTCCAGCTGCGCCTTGGCCGCGCCATGTACCTGCAGGCGCAGGCGGCCGCAAAGTCCTAAACGCTCTCCGCACCTCCAATTTTTTTTTTGTACATTTCTTTGTAAAGTTATGATTTTTATACGAGTAACGCTTTTACCACCATGAACCAAAAAGGCAGCAGCAATTTGCATTTTATGCTGATTATGTAATTATATTATTTATATATAGATTGTTTTTGCGACCCATCCCAATAACTGGGATTACTATTTTAATTAATACTCGGTCACCGGGTGAAAGTTTCCTAAATACGGACGCAAATTAGACTTAAATCTGAAATTTGAGGTTTTCAAAAAGTAGTTGTTCTAGTCACACTTAATTGAAGAGCGATTTGCAAACAAGCACCTGGCGATGAATAAGGGAATTCAAATGAAATCTGTTTATCAGTAAATTTGCAAACAAAAAACAATATGTTACTTTTAATTTAAAAATTAATGCTTTTTGTCAACCAGTTTATGGCTAAGTTACTATACCAAAGGTGAATGATTTTGCACAAAAATAAATAAATATATAATTTAATGAGATTGTTTTCATTTTTAACCCTAAAAAATGTACTTTTTTTGAAACACTACTTTTTCTCTCAGAAGATTGAAATCTTTAACTTCATCCCATGCAGATCCCATGTAATAATTAAAGTAATCTTTAAAAATCCTCAGCAGTATAAAAAAGTCCTTTTTTCTATTAAACAAATTGATTGATAAAACTCCATGCTTGAATAAAACGATTCAATCCCAAAATATGTATTAATCATTGTTTATCGTTGAGGTTGGAAATAAAAAATAAAAAACCTAGATTTAACCCTCATAACCAATATTCTAAAACAGTTTATTTATTGAGGGAAGGTGGTACAACACATACAAGTAGAGTACTTCTCGGGAATTGTCTTTCGTTAAATGCCAAGTGTGTGACAAGAGCTTTAACAATTTAGCCTTGGGCCTAATACAGACTAGATGGAAATAATGACAATTCCTCTACTCGGGCTTGCGGAAAGATTTTCCGGCGTACTTGGCGCCGGCACCAAGCTCCTCCTCAATTCGCAGGATCTGGTTGTACTTGGCCAGACGCTCAGATCGGCATGGCGCACCAGTCTTGATCTAATAAAAGAAGAAATGAACCATCGTTATTAAAATGACTCTTAAAACTACAAAACTCATAAAAAATGTATATTATAAGTTTTACTATTATTTAATTGACAGTATATTTCCAATTTGGAAACGTAAATAATAGAAAGTATAAGTAGGGAAAAATGACAAATCAACTAACCTGGCCAGTGCTGAGGCCAACAACAAGGTCGGCAATGAAGGAGTCTTCAGTCTCGCCGGACCTGTGAGACACCATGGTGCCCCAGCCATTGCTCTTGGCCAGCAGATGAGCCTCGATGGACTCGGTGACGGTGCCGATCTGGTTGACCTTGAGGAGCAGGCAGTTGCAGGCCTTCTTCTCAATGGCGGTGGCAATCCTCTTGGGGTTGGTCACGGTCAGATCGTCACCAACAATCTGTATGGTGGTGTTGGCGGTGATCTTGCTCCAGGCCTCCCAGTGATCCTGGTCAAAGGGATCCTCGATGGAAACGATGGGGAAGTCCTTGATGAACTCCTGGTACAAAGCCTCGAGCTTGTCACCGTCAATCCACAGGCTCTTATCAGAGTTGGGGTTCTTGAAGTCCAGATCATACAACTTTTCCCTAGAAACAAGTTGAAAATGTAATTGAAAATTTTGAATTGAATTAAAAAATTAAAAGTTCCTTTAAAACGAAAATATTAATTTGCTACAGATTTAGTGTTTATTTATCATTGTTATGAAAAAAAAATAATGAGAACTTCTACTTTTAAATAATTTCATCTTCAATACCAATTTAAAATCTTAAAACAATTTAAAATAATTGATTAAACTACATTTTGTATTTTTATCCAATTAATTTAAACAATCATCAATTTTTTAAATACCATTTTTGGAGGCATTAAAACTTTCATTTTAACATAATAAACTTTTCATAAATCAATAACTAAAGTACAAAAGACTTCCAGTTTAGGTTTCCTCTTTAAATTAACTTTTTTACTTCCACGTTAATTATTATTTATTCTTTTGATAATTGCCAGCTTTGACCTAACACTAGAAAATTTTGTCTCTTACTTGTGGAATTCAGAAGCTGCGACATCCATGCCAATCTCAACCTTGCCAGTGTAGCCGCCCTTGGCAATAGCGTCCTGGATCAGGAAGAGAGCTGTGGACATATCATGAAAAATTATGTGCTTTTGATCAAAATTTCAAGCTCATTACCATCCTTGTTGTTCAGAATGTTGGGAGCGAAACCACCCTCGTCACCAACAGCGGTGGCGTCAAGACCGAAGCGGTCCTTGATGACCTTCTTCAAGTGGTGGTACACCTCAGAGCCGATCTTCATGGCCTCGGTGAAGGAAGTAGCACCAGTGGGCAGAATCATGAACTCCTGCATGGCCAGCTTGTTGCCAGCGTGAGATCCACCGTTGATCACGTTGAAGGCGGGCACGGGAAGGATGATGTTTGTGTTGCCGGCCAAGTCAGCAATGTGCCTGGATTGATCATTATTGGTTGAATATTTTTTGAAATTTCGATAACTAAATTTTTCAAGAAAAAAAAAATCAGAACTGAATATTGAATTTGACCTTTCCCATTAAAAAAAATGTGTCACTTTATAAAAATAAATAAATAATATAATTGCTAAAAAACAAAAAAATCAACAATAAACTTACTTAATTGTGAGTGCGTTTTTTTAAATTTAATATCTTCCATTTTTTTTAAATACCTTTTTCTTATAAATTTGCTCTTATTTATAATTTCCAATCAAAAACTTATTTGCAGGTAGCAAAATTATCAAAGTAAGCTGACATGGTGGACAAATTATTTCGGAATTATTATACTTACTTGTACAGAGGGACACCCTTTTGGGCAGCACCGGCCTTGCAAATAGCAAGAGAGACACCAAGGATAGCGTTAGCACCAAGCTTGGACTTGTTCTCGGTTCCGTCCAACTTCAGCATGAAATCATCAATTTCCTTCTGCTGGGTTGGCTCGAAGGTCTGCAATTATAAAAAATAATGAAGTTCATTGAATCAGAACGATATTAAAAAAATAAAAAATTACAATTATTACGGTAAATTATTTTTGTTTTGCCACATCATGATTTTTTTAAATTGCTTTTAAAATTTAGTTTATGTCAGTACAGGTGAACTTTTTGATATTGTGATATCATATGACTTCAATAATGTGGTATGTAATTTAGTTGACTTCTGACATCACTTTATAATTTTGTGCAATCTGGGTCAACAATTGCACAAGTCTATTAATCTCTTCTTTTCCTTGTATTTATTATAAATAATGGGCAAAATATGGAAAATAATTAAACTATGTTCAGAATTATATTGAATAATAAACGCTTATTCTGGAATCAAAGTAATTAAGTGTGTATATAATATAAAAATATGCAAAAATAAAATTGTTTCATGTGCTAAAATATATATATATTTTTTTTAAATTATCTGTTAAAAATAAAAATAAAATATTGGGACTTTGATCAAAGCATCAGGGTTTTGTGTGTGAATCATACACTTTTCACCCCCTGACCTTGCCAAGGTCAAGGTGGTCCAGGACGAACAAATGTCAACCACAGAAAATCGATTTTAATATGTATCCTAATCACCTGCTTGAGCAGCTCAGGGGCGATGACCTCGTTGACGTTCTTGATGGCGTTCAAGACGGACTTGCCGTGGTACTGGTCCTTGACGTTGTCCCTCATCTCGAGGGCCTCATAGATGCCGGTGCTGGCGCCCGAGGGCACGGCCGCTCTGAAGAGACCCTTGTCGGTGACCAGGTCGACCTCGACGGTGGGGTTACCGCGAGAGTCGAAGATCTGTCTGGCTTTGATGCTTTGCAGGGGCATTGTGAAGATCGACCTGTGACCCGGAGACCAATCGTGAGAACCAATTCGGCCGCGTTCGCCGACAAACTCACCTAAAACTGGAGCTCGAGTAAAAACGCCGACAGAGAAGATGGGTTGACCTAGCGGAGAGGACGAACATAGAGAGACTCGCCTCGCACGTCCACCCAGCAGCAAACACTGCGCAAGCTCGGATTATCAGCTGGCCAGCGAGCCTACCGCGCTAAAAACGGCCAAGTTTAAAACTTTCTTTATTTATTGAGGCATAATAGTTGCAAATTGTCTTTATATTGTCAATAGTCATATATTGCTAAATTTTAGAATAAAATTAATAACAAGAAATGCAGAATCAATTGTATTTTGTTAAATTGTGTTCTCAATAAAGAAACATGTATAGCAATCTAGAATTTAAAGTTTGAGCTGATATAGAGAGAAAAATCGGAAAAAATCATTTCACACCATTTATATTTCAGGATGTGAGAATAAAACATGAAGTGAATGTTTTGTAAATCTGTAAAAAAATTGGTGCAATTCAGTAAAAAATTGTTTTCTTTTTTAATTAAAATAAATTGCGTGATTTCACTATAATTATGTCAAATATATCAGCATTAAATAATTTATCATTCCTCTCAATATGCTAATAAGCATATGAATGGTAATTTGCAAAGATTATCCGATTACTAAAAAAAATTTGACTATGAGAAAGAACGATTAGTGGGGGCAAAAATTCCAAAATTTTGTAAATATTTTGTTTGTTTAATTTATAAAGAAGCAGATATAAAAAAGGGCGACAGTATAAGTTTTAAGGAAAATAAAAATCATTAAAACGTCAGTATCATATTTTCATTCCCACTTTAATATACGACATTGGCAATTTATTAAAAAACATCTCTACTCCACTTCAGTATGTTGTGTATAAATACTCGGCTCTTCATATTGGCACAGATTTTCCTCATTACAAGTATTGAATAGTGTACAATTATATTAAACTAACTTCATCAATTAAAAAACCTAGAATATCAGAAAAATCAAATTTTGTGAGATTGTCATTTAACAAAATGAGCCTGATACGTTTCTCGCGAGGTTGATTTACACAATTCACTCGTATAATATTATTTAATAAATTAGTCGTTCATTTAATTCTTTACATAGTTCTGATATTGGCTTGCCTCTGTGCAGGAATTCATATTTCAATAAAAAAGTTACATTGATTCAAATTATATATTTCTTTTGTATGATTTCAACACACAATATTAGCGTTAAAAGACATGAGTAGAGTAACGTGGGCGATTTAGTTAGAGGGGACTTTATTTCGGGAGACATCAAATATGTACAGCATCTTTTTAAATTTCTTTATTTTAGTATTTTTTGCAATTAATTAAACACGTTGAAAAACGTAAATCCGAAACGCGGGAACAGAAATTTCGCTGGGTAAAAAGGTCACCAGCAGAAATTGAGCAGCATTGATGACAACAGCAGCAACAGGCTCACGCACACCTCATCTAAAATTAAAAAATAATCAGTTAAAATCTTTTTGAAAAATAAGAAATACATTTTTAATATGAAATTACCAGATTTATTGGTGAAGTCATCTTGAGCCAGTTTCTGATTGTTCAGCCTGGCGAGCAGGGCGGTGGCCGTTTTGGCCCAGGTGCGTTCCTGGACGGTGGCGGTGCACCTGAGCTCGAGAGGGCCGCCCCCAGGGAACAAAGTGACTTCGGCGCGTCTGTTCAACCCCAAAACGGACTCGCTTAGGCCCTCCTCGTCTTCCGAAGTGGCGTAAAAGACCAAAAAGTAGCGTTCGACCTGTTAGTGAAAAGTTATTTGCCAATACAGAGGGTGTGAAAAATGAACTCGAACCTTTATTCCGTTGAGGTACCAGGCCATGGTCGCCTTGGGCTTTGACTTGGGACAAGTGCAATTAGCCTCGATCATGTCCTCAGGAGAATAAGCCGGCTGAAGCCCGTTGATTATCGGCTCGCTTGCTGGCAGGGCTGCAAATATTAGCTTAATGTTAAAAGTTTCAGTTTAGAGGAAAGTGTTTGTGGAAATTTTAAACAGACAATTCATTAATTTTAATTAATTTTACAAAGATTTGTAATTGAAAATTGTATGTTTTTCACCCACGATTGAATATTTTAATTTAAAAAAATTTAGAATAGTTGTGCATTTTGTTAAAAATATTTATTTTCAAAATATTGATTTCCAACAGAACCGTGCAAAATTCATTGAATTTCTCGATTTTTCCATTAATTAGCTATTGATTTCTTGTTGAGAATAAAAAAATTTTTCCTTTGTCTTTTTACCCTCAATATTCAGTTTGCAAAATCAATTTAATTTAAAATTTCATTGTTTACTGATTACTCACACTAATTTCAGTGTTAGCCAAGCTATTTATTATGGTATTCTACAACGAAATTTGAAATATATCTTTACTACTTTTAAATTAAAATCTTTAATCAAAGAAATGATTCTGACAAAGTAGAGCAAGTAGAGGCTCAGTGAGCCTCATGCTCATTAGGTCTAACGTCACTTTATCAATTATATCAAGTTTTTAATAAATACTAATATTTTTAATATAGATATTTTAATAATTTAAAACCTACATGAACAATAAAATTTTTTTTTTATTTAATAAAATATTGAAAATTAATATTTATTAATATAAACATTAAAAGTATAATTTAAAGTAAAATAACAATTATTTTTAAATTTTTAATTATTTATTATTTTACAACAATTTATCTGTAAAGCTTCTTCTTGTTTAATCAACTTGCGGAAATGTAATTGTGGCAAAGGGTGTTTTCTTTGGATCAAAGCTGGACTAATCTGCTCGTTAAAATCAAACGCGCGCAGCACATGATGAACGAGCTGCTCGAAAGAAAGAAAGTACCGCGATCTGAATCTGCTAAACTTTGCCTCTCAAACCCCATTATTCACCGCACTTTGCTTTCCTTATCTGAAGTCGAGAGAGCGAAAGAGAGGAAGCTGTTTCCACAGCAAAAGCCAATTGGTGCTCGTACATCAGTGTCTGTCTGTCTGTTGAGCATTACGCCTGCATCAGAATGCATTTGCTGCGTTTAACGAGGGTGCAACTTGAAACTCGTTGTCAGTGCGCCCACGGAAAAAGGAGAAAATCAATTAAAAGATGAGAGGTAAAAGTTGGCAAATGAGAGCAACACACACTCGCTAGCTAGAGTCGCTAGCGCGAAAAGTTTTTGTGGCAACTGACGGTTAGTTAGTTAGTTGGTGGTTGTTGGCCGGAAATACGGACTCAAGTAGTGCGATGATTCCCCAATGACGAGGGTGAATCGATATACACGCAGACAGACACAAGAGATCTCTATTCTGTCCGCAACACCCACGTTCTATTCTCATCAGCAGGCAATTCTATCCTGCGCCTTCATTAGCGTTAGTTATCATGCGAACGTTGGGTGCCACATGAACAAAGTGCGACCAGACATTGCTTTACTATTTATTGACTTTTGAGGACTCATTTTATTTCTTTAAATTTATTATTTAGATAAAATTTTAATTGTGTTGAATTCCATACTTGCCATTGTTAGACTAAAAGGAAATATAAATCATACTTAAATGTGATATATCAATAAATATCATTTGCAACTAAATGTAATAAAAAGAAGCTATTTTTGTTTCCATGAAATCTGGCTTCCTCGCGGTGAAGTTAGCGATTTTAGTTTCAAAAAATGTTTATTGGGTTCGAATTGAGGGCAACTATGCCCCATACATGAACTCATCCAAATAAATGACAAAAATGAAAATTTGAAAACAATTAAGAGAGAAAGAAAACAGTAGTATTGTTCAAAATATTTTTTTCAGTACTGCTTTTTATTTTTTATGCTTCTGTTAGGAAGCCATATTTTATTTCAATAAAAATGAACACTACGAGTGCAAGAAGATTCAGCAACAACTAAAAGAACCTACATACAAAAAATTGAAGCTGAAACCAATGCAAAAGTGCAGGTTGAAATAAAAAATCAGTGCTTATTTTGAAATAATTTTGACATAAATCGCGATCTTATGGCATCATGTCTTAGTCAATAATAATAAGTAATATAATTTTAGTTTATGAATTCAATGCATTGCAATCGCTATGAAAATGTCAAAAACGCTTGACTTTAATTAATTTAGAATATTTAATAGAGTTGAGATTAATAGCCGGGTCTTAATTTACAAAACTTAATATTAAAAAATTTGCAAAAATTTAAATTGTTTTAGCTAACAATTTAATCTTCGCTATTAAATATTCCATTCCAAATAAATAATAATGTTTAAATCAAAAAATTTTGCTTTTAAAAATAAAAATAAAAATTAAATTTAATAAATAAAATTTAACAATTAATAAAAAACATAATTTAAAAAAGTTAAGGTTTGTAATTTAATATAACAATTAAAATAATATTTTTTTTACTTCATTCTAGCCAATTCTAGCCCATGTATTATGAAAAATTATGAAAATAAACTTTTCACTTTGTTTCACTGCATTTTTTGGAAGTGGAAATAGTCATAATTTTATCAGTTCATTGGACTTTAAGATATAATTCTATTAAAAATATTCCATATCTCCATTTTATGATGCGTTTAATAAAATTTGATCAACATTATCTTTTGAATGTTTGATGCGCAAGTAGAGCACCACATGCATACCTTGATTAATTTCCTGATACTTTTCCTGCCTCAAGGGCAACAATGAAGAGCGCGTGAGAGATTAAGTAAGAAAAGCCCGGAGACAAACTCATCAGAGCGTGACTGGAAACCAATTGAGCTGGGAAAATTTTGCATTCTGAGGCTCTAGACCAAGTTTCGCAACCGAGAGTGGCTCGCGGGCAGCTTTCTTGGCTCATTTCCCCGTTGCACTCAACAGTGACCCAGAAGAGGATGGCATTAAAAAAATGAGCAAACACATGCCGAGCTAATTCGCGTTTTAATAAACTCGTCGGCCGCGTCCAGAGACGTTCCGAGTGATTACTCCTGCGTCGCTATGTATTTATTTTAAAACACCGGTAGCAATCGGGGCCGAGTGCCGCCTCCCCATGTATTAATACATACACTGTACGTGTGTGTGTGTGTGTTTTCCATTAGACCGGAATGGGGAACGTGTGCATGTTTGCCCGACATTTCCCTCAGGGCACAAGTGGTGCCTCCAAATCAAATCACGTTGCATATCATTATCAGGTATGCAACCGGGCCGACGCCGGTGACGCGCCGGTTGCATTTTGTGCACGCGCCTAACTACGATGCTCGCTTTGAAGTCAACACACCCGAGCAAAGCTTCAAAAGCAAATACGCAGATTAAACTACTACATTTGGGCTTCTGTGTGGAGGTCTCTCTCTGCGATTCATAATGGGATTGAGTTAATTTCCTAATTGCTTAATTCACTGTGCCGGCACACACAGATGTATTTGTTCCCTCGGCTCGCAGACGCATTATTTGCTTGCTCTTCTTGTGCCATTGACGGCGGGCATAAGCATCTGAGAACTGAATTCAATTTGACTTTGCTTGAACGCAGTTTGTTGACTTTGCGTGAGTTCTGCGAGTTCTATAGGAGTTCTATGGGGTCGAGAAATAATTGCAGCTTTGATATACATTTTTAGGGAAATTATACAGAAGGGGTAAGAAATATGTTATGCAATAATCATGCAAAAATGACATTATGTATTAATGATAAGAAAGTAACAAACCAAATAGTAAGGCTATTTAATTACTGTAATATTTTGTATATTCTTGTTATTAATTTGTCCAGCCATATTAAAACATTTGATTACTGCGTTTTAGAGAAAAACCCTAACAGAGCTTATTATAATTAAAATCTTTTTAAAATATTTGTAAATTATAAAAATACAAAATTCAATTTTGTAAGCAATGCATATACATTCTGTATGGTTTTATTCGTCATTATAATTTATAATTAATTTTTTTTACTTAAAGGCTATTGAGTCAAAATTACTGTAGAAATTTCAACATCGTGTTATAAACTTTGACATGATGAAATTATTCCTTTTTCTTTTTTGTGGAGGAACAATACAATTAATTTCTAGCATTGAACAAAATTTTTTACTTATTGAGCTAACTTTTTAATGTTTCAAAATAACAAAATAAAAACGGGAATTTTTTTGCAAAGGACGTAAATTGGAAATGTATAACTCTCCCATATTTTTATTTAATTTTGTATAGCCTTTCAATTCTACACGAAACCAATTTTAGATTCCTTTTATAGCACAACGCCTACTATGAAAGGGAAACTGCCTCTCTTTCTGAAAAATTTCCTTTCGCTCAAAAAGAACAATAAGAAACCCCATAAAACCTTATTCCTTCTTTATTTCTGCTTCCATTTTGCCTTCAGCTGAGAGAAAATATGGTTCACGAAAGCATTTGCTTGTCTTAATTTAGTGCTTAGGCTGCGAGCAAAAATTGATATTTACGACGTGCCACGCACCCGGCAGCGAATTCGGCCAAACCAGATGATCTCCAGCCCGGGGAGTGTTGAGATAATTTGGCAACCATTTTTTTCGCGTCGTTTCTTTTCCCCCGATACTCGTTAGTCATCTCTCTCTGCCGCTTGTTGTGCGTTATTTTTCTATTCCCCGCGGCCCACAGTGACAAGTTGCTGGCCACTTGCGCAAAGAATCCGAAATAATGAAAGGTCAACCCCTGCTGCGAGGGCAAAACTTTTATGTTTCTTATTTCTCTTGCGCGAGGGAGGGATGCTGATTTCGTTTTTCTCCCTTTCGTGCGGCTCGAAAATGCATCAAATTATACATATCCGACGAAAGCTTCACTTTTGGGGGTCCGTTTTTTTCCCTAAATTCACTTAACCTAAAACCTTTTTTGGAAAATATTTTCGTAACAATCTAAGAAATTTATAGAGTGAAAAATATTGAAAAAATTTTTTAAATTTATTTACTCTTGCAGGCAAATTTAAATTGTTTAAAATCATTAAATTTTTTAACAGCTATGTATTCAAATTATTGTGTATGTATTGACTTGATATTTAAGATGTTGCGTTTTTCAATGAATGCAATGAAAAATAAATTGATAAATGAATAAATAAATAAATGAACGAATAAATAAATAAATAAATAAAAAAATAAATAAATAAATAAATATATAAATAAATAAATGAATAAATGAATAAATAAATAAATAAATAAATAAATAAATAAATAAATAAATAAATAATTAAATAAACAAATTAATAAAAATATAATTAAAAGTTAGAGTATATTTGATCACAATAAATGTGACAAATTAATATGTGTTTAAAAATAAATAGTTTGAATTAAATATAAGCAATAAAAAATTTGTATTTTGTAATAAAATTCATAATCACATAATATATGTATCAAAATTAAACAGCACCAAACTTGAATAACGTGCAGTATTGAATCATTATACTGTAAAGGAAATAATATGAATATTCTCATTTCATGGACATGCGATATAAAAATTCAATAAGAAAAACATTTTTTTTTTAAATTTTTCTTGAATAACCGTTTTCCAAACTTTCAGACACTGGATTCAAAGGTGTGCATGAATAGACTGATGATGATGGTATCCTTTTCCTGCTTTTTTCCAAGAAATTCGTTTTGGGCCAAACTTATTTTACTTTTATCAAAACTTTTCCGATGCCAAAAACTAGGGCAAATGAGGGCGTCCCCAGCACTTTTGTAATCAATGCGATCGGGGAAAAAGAAAAATAGCGAGGTTTCTTTTTCAATTCCCACTCGCGGCTTTGCGCAGCAAATTTTGCGCGTCTCTCGAACGAGCCCGCCAGGGATTGTTCCTCTCATTTCAATCACGCCGCGGCAACACTTGAAGGAATGGAAAAACTTTTCTCTTTGCGGCAAAATAGGGAACAAGGCAACAGCAGCCAGTCAATAATCCATCAACGTCTATCTGCGACGAGTGTGTTGAGCTTCCACCGGGGAAGAAAATTTGATTGAGGCCTTTTGAAGCTTCCAGGGCTTTTATCGCAATTAATGCTGCCAAGGAGACGCCAAGGGAAAAAAAATCATCGCCGGCGGTGATGCCTCGCAAAAATGCTCACAAACGTAAGTGTTTGCAACAAGAAAACAAGCATTTCCAAGAAAAACTTTCCTTTTATTTACTTTTCCTTGTATTATAAAAACTTTGCCTGTTCTCCTTAAGCCCAATGTAAAAAATATGAGGTGGATATATTCATAATTGATTTTACCTTGCTCGACTATATGAACATATATTTTGTCAATCTTTGTTCATGCCGATTTTGAGAAAAATAATATAATTTTTTTCCCCATTACAAACCATTGGTTTTTAATATTTAATCCTTTTACAAACTGGTGAAATATTCTCTTTTAGATTTTTTTTTTAGTAATTTCTCATTTTATCACTCTAGAATTCATTCAGGCAATGGTTCTTGGTGATTTGTTTGTCGCATGAAAATATATTTGGTACTTAAAACAACCTTTTGAACGCTTTTAGAAAATGAATTGTACTTTATTATTACTATTATATTTTGAGACTCTATTTTGATATAGTTGGCTCTAATTTTGGGAAATTAAATGTCATTAAACAAAAGAATAAGACAAAAAACGTTTTAATTGTTTTACCGACTTGGAACTCCCAAAATATTTTAATTCCAAATTATATTGGAATGTTGGCAGAAATATTATGTCACGGGTATGACGTTGAGCCGTTTAAGAGTACCCAAGGGTTAAAAATTCACAAACCAAGTTATCAATTATGAATGGTTAATGATTAAACTTAAAAATTCCATAAACGGGAGTAAAAATTTAGAAAATTGAAATTGAGGCAATTAAACTGATTGCAGGTGTTGATTTTTCATGGTTGCCGGCATTTTTCTATTTATCTCTTGGTGTTGTTTCTTTCATGCCAACCCTTCTCTCTCTCTTTCTGTGAAAACGCTATTTTCGCTCTCGTCCTCTCCAACCCTACCCCAGGGGTTAACGCGATCCTTTCCCTTTTGCCGTCCTCGCCCCATAATTGCCTTGACTGTCCCCCAAGGCGCCGCTCACCTCTGACTGTCACGTTCTCATTCGAGAACGTTGTCTCGAAATTTGGTCCTTCCGTAGACACTTCGCACCTATAGGTGCCCGAGCTGCTGAACTGCAAGTCCACCAACGTCACTTGATTCATGTCCGAACGAGACATCTGCAAATGAAAAATTGATTTTTGTGTAAAAATATCTTTAAAAAAAATACAGTATTAAAGCTCTTTTGGTAAATAATAGGACAAAATTAAATATATTATAAAATTAAAAAATTTAATTCTAAAATAAATGGATTTCATCAAATTATTTCAAAGTGAAAAATATGATGACAGCACTTTTAAAATCAAATTTCAAATTATTTATATTTTAATAAAATTATTATCGTATTTAACCCTCACTAAAAATTAAATGACTACAGATATCCGTTTCAATGCTTCAATGCTGGAATACCTTAAAATGCCATTAACCATGACAATTCTGAGGAAACAAAATTATAATTAAAAAAAAAAAACATACTGTAATGAACAGTAAAATATTTGTATTTGAGAAACGTTGTCTCCTTTAAAAAAGATCATTTTGACAATTTTTGATAAATTTAAAAAAAAAACCATTTAATTACAATTAATTAAAATCCATTCAAGATTTATAAATAATTTAATAAAATATAATTTAAAATCTAATATTATTATTATTAACAACTATTAGTAAAATTGGAATTGCAATTAATATAAATATAATTCCAGGCCCGTCAAACCGATTGTTAACACATGTGAATGATGTGAATTATTATTATTATTAAATTTACCAAAATTAACAAAAACATGTGAAATAAAAAAAATGCAATTATTAATTAAATAATTATTTTGAACTTACGTCCAACTTGATTCCAGGCAGGGCGAACCACTTGCAATTGAAGACGGGACTGTAGCTGAAAAACTCGTAGTCGTCTTTGTACCACTTGACCGAATAAAGGCGGGCATAGCCCAACTCGAAGTGGCAACTCATGATCACTGTCGCATGAAGCTCTGCGTACCGGGGCACGCTCACGTTCACAAAGTGCAGCCCGGAAGTGCCTGGAACACGATCAATAAAACGTCCCATTATAAAATTATCCGATCTTTTTTAGATATATTTTTTAAATTTAATTGAAACACAGATATATAAAAAAAACAATGTGTTGGAAATTTTTTCAGGAATTCAATTGAAAAAGATTCAATAAATTCATTTTGATTTTTTTTAAATGACTTCTTTAGTAAAATGACACGATTGAATTGCCTTTTTTTCTTAATCTTTCGTGCATCATTAGATATGTCATTACTCGTCAATTTAGTTGCAAGAGGTTAACTTAAGTAAGGATTCGCACAATAAACTCTGATCATAAAACTTTGGTACGAATAAACCTTCGTTCAGTTGTTCCTAGGGGACAAAGAGATAGTCCAGAGCAGCATTAAACTTTGCTTGCGATATTGAAGATTGTTTATTTGCAGCTCATTGGTACATATCATTATTATACAACTTTTAATGGATTTTATTGATTCTATTGTACACAGTAAAATATTTTTTGGGCATTGGGCATTAAATTACGTTTCGTCCTCAAACGTTTCTTAAATATCTCCTGATTCCTCACTTATACATTTTATAGTTTCAAATAATATTTATTGATTCTCTGCCCAAATAGATCTACCAAAAATTAGCAATATTCAATAAAAACACATTTGATCATTCACATTAAAACAAAAAATTGATCAAAGCAAGGTTTAAACTAATGGGAAAGCATTTGTCCAATTCAAAAGCAATCGAGCTCTATTATATGAGATCGCGCGTCGGTGATTCTGTAGAACGTCCTAATTTCACAGACGATTGAGGGAGCGTCGCCGGCGGCAAAAAGTGCTGCATGTTCACTTTTCGCGCTGGCAAGCGATCAAATGGCCCCTAATAGAATCACTTTTGCGCGCCACTCGAAGCGACGCGAGCCCATGAATTTTGAATCAGTGCGGCGATTTGCTGTGTGCAAAGTTTGCGTAATGAGAGAAAGACGCACCGCAGTCGTTCGGTCGTGCACCTGCTGCTTCTTGCAGTAATGGGCCTCGCGCTCTTTTCCGTTTAATATTCAGCCGAGGCCCCACTTTTAAAATATGCAATGAGAGCCGCTGAATTATGAAGAAGACAAAAGGCCAATGCGGTATCTTCTTCGCAGCAGAAGCGGCGCCGCCACACCGCATGCATCCACCTCTACACCGACTTGCAGAAGGACCGTAGATATACGGCGGCAGGATTACATTTACGCGTGTGCCTGGATTAACCCGTCAGGTCGGCGAAAAAATGGCTCTGGAGAGTTTCGAGCGACGAATATATTTGGTTTGCTTTAATTGTCTAAAGATGATAAAGAAAACAAGTGAAAATCTCTTACAATTAGCCAATTATTATTATTATTTTTTTATGTAATACAGTTTTATGACATCAAGTTCAGAAATTTTATAGTAATGATTTCAGACTTTTTTCAAAACAAATTAGGCAAATTGATCAATTAAAAGACAAGATTACATATTTCATTTTGTTTCATAATTTTTGTATTACCTTCTTCGTCATTGACTTGCAACCGTTTATAACAAAATAATGAATAAAAAAAATTCAAAAAAATTAAAAAAAAAATGAATGAATAACATATTACAAAGTATATTGATAGCAAACTCTTTTTTTATTTCAAACTCCTGCTGGAGTCCATATTTTTAGGAGATAAATACCAACAAAATGAAGTGAGTCTCTTGAGCTATATTAATTATTTGATTTATTTGATTCTCTGAATACTATTAAATAATTTAAAAAGTTTAACCCCCGATCGTGATTTTAGAAAAGTTCAAATTTGAGATATTTTGTTTTTGCATTAAAGATTATAACATAAATTCTACTCAATTTAAATTTTTTAAGTTTGCTATTAAGAAAGGAAAATTTTTCTGTATCATTTGATTTGCTCCAATCAATTTAATTAATATGCAAAATAATTTTCTTCATTTTCTAAATTTAGGATACTTAAAATTCTATGAATACCAACTGTAACTGGTTATATTTCTGGTAAACCAAAACAGTGAACATCATAATATAATTAAGAAGTGTTTTTAAGTTTAATTAATATAATAATTTATCTTGCAAAAATTCAATTGAGGAATTAAATTTAATATGCCCTTTGATTTGAATTCAAAATTCTAGCGGAAACAAATAACTTCTCCAAACTAATTTGCTGGGGGAAATTTGACTGCAGTTGCAGGCAACAGGGTCATATTATGCCGACCTTTGGCCCTATAAGGCAAAAGCCCCACCAGTGGGCTTTTCCTTTTCAATTTAATCCCTGAAAGCAGGTTTCTGGTCGGCCTTTTGGCGAACGCCTGTAAGAGCCGCAGTGTCTCTCCGCACTCGCTCTCCACACTGGCGCATGTTACTTTTCTTATTAAACATTCATGCGAATCTCGACCGTCGGCGGCTGATTTATATTGGATATATCCAGCGAGGACGTGAGTGTGTGTGATCTTTAAAAACGCGCAGCACTGCGGCAAAGGCCAATTTTAATTGCCATTATCCCTGAGCTCTGGTGCAAAATTTATACGCAAGAGATTAAAAAAAAAATGAGTTTTACATTATGTAATAATTTTTTTAAAGTAATCAATTTTCTCAAATTTTCTTTCAATCCTACAGCATGCTTCATTAAAATTTTTATATTTTAGTTTTTTTAATACAGTTTTGAGACATAAATGTATTGTTTCAGGAATTATTTACTGTTTTATTTATGCAATTGGTGAAATAGTATAATTTTGTAAATTTTCAAATCCTATTTTCAGGCAAAATTTGAATGTTTTATTTGATCCTCGAATGAAAGCCTTCTAAGCGTAAAAGCAAATTCAAAAATTAATAACGTATTGAATAAATTTTTTTCCTTCACGTAGATTGGGTTGCGTTTTACACACGCAAGCAATTTGCAATCCGGCTTCATGATTTTGGAGAATTCCATGAATATTTATCGAATCAGCAACGCCACTCGGCTGGTCCCCACATGGGACATTCTCGCACTTTGATGTCACTCTCGGCAGCAGCGAGTCCCGATTCGGCTGAAAGCGATGCTAATTGCTGCCTATTTATTTAAAACAGCGCGTTAATAAGTCAGCAGCGAGTGAGCTCTCGAGACGCGTTCGTTTCCACGGCGGTCGGTCCGCGGGAATTACATTATGCAAATCGCGCTCCTTCATTATGCAGTTTAGTCTGCTTCAACTGCCTTTTGAAAGTTAAATTTTGCGCCGCCGAAACAAATTTGCTCTGCATTATTTTGCAAATGCCGTTGCCGGCGACTTGCGGCTGCTGCCACTTTTTTTTCCAAAGTTACGCTTGTTAGAAAAAGAAGAAGTGGGTCGCCACTGTTTACCCAAAATATAAGTATCCTTTACTAATATGGTTCAATTTGTTTAGTTGCGCTCAATTTCAGATCTGCAGTGAGTAAAATTATGCAACAAGACCTACTCAACATATTTCTCCGACCAAAATTTTTCAAAAATGTATCTTAATTATATCAAGGCATAAAAGAATATTTCATCGAAATTCAGTTTCTCTTTCCAGTGATTTTACAAACTCTTTAATATAAAGTGTAAATTTGCACAAGTTTGTAAATTCTTTTAAAATTGAAATAAATTTTGCATTTTATTCCCATGTTATATAAATATAAATTATAATTTATTAATAAACTAATGTATTTATATCTTTTAAATTTTATTTGATTATATGTGGTTATTAATTTTTGGTTGGTCGAACATAAATAAGATTTATTTAACACAAATTACGTTCAGTTATAATGCAGAAAGGAATAAATTTCAGTAAAATTTCCTTTAGTAACATGAATAAATTGTTAGAAAACTGCATTGCTAAATTCGTTTCAATGCTTAAGACAACTATTTTAATTATAAAAAAATAAAAACTGAAAATAGCCAATAAAAAAATTAATTTTGGATGAAGTTTTTTAGATTCACAACAAAAACTAAAATATTCCACTAAATTTGGGCTGCATCAATCAATTCAAGAGGACAAACTATGTGTATGTGTATGGTTTGTTTCTTTTACTCGGCCAAAAGTCCGCATTTTATTTTGGGTCCGCGAGCCGAATTTCGTACGCATTATAAGTGGGCTGCTTGCAATTCAAAAAGCGGCGCCTCGGAAATGAAAAATCCCGACAAGGAAAATATTACCCATGAATAATTTCGGTGAGCGTTTCCAGACTGACACCGCGCAGTTGTGTGGAAAAGCAAGGTTCCTCCGTCGGACTGAATAAAACAGGCCGACGCACGCCGGAATTACGTTCGAAGACGACTGGTTATGCCGCACGCGCTCAAGTAATGAAAAATTTCACGTGCGCCTCGCGGAATGAAAAACAGCAGCCGTCTTCGTTCAGTGAAATATAATTTCAAGTCAAATAACTTTCGCTCATATTATAAAAATAGTTCACTTTTCCCTGTATTACTTTAATTTTGATATTAGGTTTTGATTAGATAATGCTTGTAAAAATTTGTAACCAAAAATGTCTATTGTTTGTCGAAATCATCATTAATCGATTTAATTTACATACTTGTCCTCAAAAAATAAATCATAACGCATAAGTTGCATAAATAACAATTGTAAGGGAAGCATTAGCTATTTATTTTCTCAACCTTTGACATTTCTCGCTGCGAGCAAACGGTGTAAAAAAATTCACAGATTGTTTGCGAGTTGGGAGGCATTCCTTGTTAATGAGCAAACACAGTACCAATAAAGTAAGTACGTACTTACATACATAAAAACAAATTTACGCTCTGTACTTTAGATGAGGAAAGAAAAAAAAATCGTGAAAACCTTTTTCTTGTTAATGAGCAAAAAATTTACATGGAAGCAAAATTTCTTTGCTTAGAATTAAATGTTTTAAAAACATTTAAAAACTATTTGAAAAAAAAATCAGATGTAAATGCTTTTCAAAAAAATTTAAAAAAATATTTAGCAATTTTTTTTGGATAAAAATTACTCAATTGCAAACCTTCATTTCGCCAGCATTGTTCCTAAATTGATATTTACACTATTAGCGATTTTGATTTTGCATCACTTTATTAATAGTAAAAATTACATACAGTATTTTGCTGAATACAATTATTTTTAGCAAGGTCCTTTCTAAGACATAGAGAATCACTAGCCTTTTTTATCACTTCTTTATCTATAGGTAGGTCTAAATACAGAGCTAATATCAGGTTGGCTTCACAAAATTTTGCTCTTCAAACCACAGAAACCGTTTTTATTCTCATCTTCTCAGTGTTAATTTGATTGGCCGCCCTTGCAATCTCTTTATTTGTTTTTCCCTTTTCCCTTTCTGGATTTGCACCAATTTGCTTACATCTGGAGCGTGTGCGGTCCGAGCACCAAATTCGCACCCATCGATTGAGGCCGGACCAAAGTGCCCGCTTTGAGCAAATCCTTTTTTATCTCAGAAAAGCTCAGATTGTTGCTGCTCGGATGGCAATCGCAGGTCTAAGAGGTGGCCAATCTTCGAAGGACTTTAAACGACAGTCGCGCACGGCATTAGAACGTGCCATTTTAAAATAAAACAAAAAATGCAGGGCCTTGGTAAAGGAGCGTGTTGAAATCCCCGGGAGGAAAGGCGCGTGAAACTTGACGCCAGATGAGACCGAAAAAAGGGAGCGCCAGAGAGAGACTGGAGTGTATGAAATTATACGCCTGGGTCACGGGCCAGGCTGGCTGGCCTCTTTCTCATCCCGATGCTGCATGTGTCACATCGTGTCTCGTGTTTTCGCTCCGATATTTGCCCGCCGCACAAATTGCTCCGCATTTGAAAGCGAGCTCTTCTCTTCTTTCTCTTCTGCTATATGGATCTCGCATCGTCTCACCCGACTGCAATTTGATTTGCGCGCGGCACCTCGTACGAATAAATTGCCGGAATATGTATTGCGAGGAATTTCGCGTCAGACTTTCAATCAGCTTTTCTTGCAAACCAACTGCTGTCGACGAGAGAAATTTTTCGTTACGAAGGTGGCATGCAACCGTTTTTATTCCAACGTCGCACCGGTTGCTGATCGAGTTGTAGTTAAGGGGCCATGGCTCCGTAACTTTATTGACGACCCATCGTTCTTGCAGAAAATTATTTTTGAGCTAAATGATCATATAAAAGAGTGGAGCAAACGCCACGTACGATTTTTAACAATCATATTTAGATTAATTGAGCCGATATGAGACTTAAAAAGTTACATTATGTAGAGGGAATAAGTTGAAATTGCAAATAAAGTTTGCCCATACATTTTGAGTCAGATTAATTAAAAATATAATACGCTCTACTTTTAATTACAGTTAATTTTTTTTACATTGCATTTATAATTTACAAATTATTTATTTAAAATAACTTTTAGAATTATTTACATCTTTTGATATTTTTTAATAAAAAAATAAATAAAATATTAACTATTTATTTCATTATTTTGATGTTTGATGAGCCTGACCTTTTATATTAATTTTATTTAACGAAAAAAATTGTAAACAAAATTGTATATATCGTCGGCTACGCGGACAGATGGCCAGTCCGTCGCTCCGCTTTTTGACACAAATGGCCACTAGCCATTTGCGCCGTTGGTACAAATGGCCAATTCGCATTTCCGGAGAAAATTTTTTTTTCTGCGCGAATATGTTCAAAAAGTCAAAATGCACCAGCCCACACGCTAAAAGTACCAACTTTACCCGTAGATGGCTCTTCTGTTGAGCCCGCAAGCAAGAAGTGCCATGAAAGCCACGCCCCCTCATGTGGTTTCCCATATCGCCGGATAATATGAATAAATACTTTTAATGCGTTTAATGTTAAAATTGGAAAAAATGATAAAAATAAAAAAAATCTTGAAAAAATGTATAATAAATATTAAAATATTTTACAATTTTCTAGAAGTAAAATCTCATTATTAGTTAATTACTAATTCAAATGGACGGACTCAATCAAACGAAGTGTTGCGAAGGATGCTCTCGTTGTGATAGACGTTTCCGCGAATGCAATCTTTTTTTTTTAGAACGCGTGAATTTAAAATATTCAAAATTTCAGCGATGAAGTTCAATTTAATCATGTATTTTTGATAATGCTAGATTAAAATTAATTCCGTCTAGGAGCGGAGGTATTAATGTTTCCGCGAGAATTTTTTTCCGTCCATTTTAAAAATAGAGAAAAGTTATAAAAAATAATAACCTAAACAGAAAAATGTTGCCAATTAAATTTTCTACAATTTTTTTCATTGGCTTAGTAACGTCAAAAATTTTTTCACTTACATACGGAAGGCTCAAAGTCAAAATAATATTTTTTTATAGCATAAGATTTTTTTAAAATTTTTTCGAGATGGCCAATCGATTGGAAATTAAATTTTCACCTCCGTTATTAAATTTCATCAAAAAATATTGAGCCGTTTTAAAATAAGAATATAATAATGTGATCACCCTTCAAACTGCTTTTGAAGACGAGGGTGCCGTCAGAGCGCTCACGAGAAAGCAAAGTGCAACTTAAAAACGGCTCAACATTTTTTGGTGTAATTTGGAAGCTAGATTTAAAATTAAATTTCCAATCGATTGGCTATCTCAAAAAAATTCTAAAAATTTTATTCTATGAATAAAAATAATATTTTGACTTTTAGCCTTCCGTACATAAGTGAAAAAATTTCTGACGCCTTTAAGCCAATGGAAGAAATTGTAGGAAATTTAATTGGCAACATTTTTCTATAAAGGTTTATATTGTTTTAAGCTTTTCTCTATTTTTAAAATTGATGGAACAAAATTCTCGCGGAAACAATAATAACTCCTCTCCCAGACGGAATTTATTTTAAACTAGCAAATCAAAAAATTAATTATCTAATTATGAATCAACGCTGAAATTTTAAATAATTTAAATTAACGCGTTCTAAAAAAATATTGCATTCGCGCAAACGTCTATCACAACGAGCATTCTTCGCGACACCTCGACTGACGGGGCGCCACTGTTGTGTCAACCAGCCGCTCCGCAGCAGCGGCTCCGATTTCGCCTTTATATTCATATCAGCGGTGATTTTTCGTTTTTTGGAATAATTTTTTCACTAATTTAATTGCAATATCATCCTTAACCTTGAGTTAAAAAGTGGATTCTGAAATCTGAACATTCTCGCAGATAATCAGTTTTTTGCTTCTCCTGTAAAATTGGAAAAGCTGTCGAGTGGCCATTTGTACCAACGGCGCAAATGGCTAGTGGCCATTTGTGTCAAAAAGCGGAGCGACGGACTGGCCATCTGTCCGCGTAGCCGACGATATATAATATAATAACAAACAGACCTACCAAATGCTTTAACGGTTACACAAGTCAACTTCAAGTCTATTCCCATCTTGGTACAGCTACTAACTATATAATTAGTAAAGGTGTAATTTGAAATTTTTAATATCAAATAGATTCTCTCTGGATTTCAATCCAAGAAGAGAAACACCCCCCTGTCATTCTAAATTCAAAAAGAAAATAATTCCCAAAGAAATATTGTCTTTTTGAGATTATCTACGAGCAATAAATAAAAATAGGGTTACAAGAGATACAAACAAATGTATTTAATTTGGTTGCCATTTAGCAAAGTCGGTTAAGTGAACTTTTCGATTTCATTTTTCTTTAGACTGTTTCTTTCCCACTTTGCAAATTTAATTGCAAGTAATCCTCTCTCTAATTGACGGCAGGACGCAACAAGTTATTAACATATTCGCGTTTGCGTTCTGTCGCCAATGCGCGAGGCTCCATAAAGTACACCATAAATTTATCTGCTATGGGTGGAGGGGGAGCGGCTGCTGGGCGTAATTAATCCCGTTCAACAAAAGCAGTGACCCAAAAGTGTTGTTTCCTGCAATATGTTGCCATGTAAAGTTGCGCCAAGAAGAACACACACATTTTCATCGTCGCTCCAGTTTTGAACTCGGCCGTGTGCTGCAGAAAAGAAAAAAACGCGTTCAACTTTCTTTCATTCTTTTTGTCCGCTAAACTTGCTCCAGACCCTTGTTCCGAAGGTGTCACACCGAGAAAACAATGAAGTGTCTCTCTCGCGCCTGCTGCAGGTAATTTTTTGTCTTTCCCCCTTCTGCAATAAATCTGGCCATCAATTCCGTTTTGCTCTCCGCTCTGTTAGGCACGGCGATGATCAAAGTCGGCAGATTTTTAATTAGCTCATTCATTATTCTACTCGCCGGGGCGAGTTGGATTTTTGCTCAAGGAAAATGAATCTCGCTTGCCGGCAGATTAAGAAAGACGGGAAGCACTTGAGGAAAATTAGAGGAAAACGAGTCGCCTCTTCTTTCACAGAGA